TCCCAGGAGAGGGTCAGCAGGCAAGGTCACTGAGGAAGGCTTGTATGAGGGAAGGAGGGGGGCTGACAGGCACCCAACCTACCGAGAGTCACAGGCTCTGCCTGGGGTGGGGGGGATGTGTTTGGTGCTGGGAGTGTGCAGCCCCTCTGCCGCCCCTCCCCAACCCGGCCTCTTGGAAGTGGCTTCCAGCCAAGGAAGGAAAGATGTGCAGACTAGAACACATGCCAAAAGGGTGCTGGAGGAGACTGGTGGCCACACTCCGCACCCCCCGCCCCACCGCGTCTCCCACAGCCAGGTGTGCTCAGGGGCTGGCTCTCCCCCTGGACCTTCCTCGCCCCTCCTTCCTCTCTTTTCCAGTCTCATTTCCAATGTCACTTCCTCTGGAACCCCTGCTGGGACCCCAATGTTGCGTCCTCCTCTTACAGGGTTTTAGACCACCCAGCCCTCTTAGCACTCATCCTATTTGTCTTGAATTATGTTCGTCCTCCCTGGTTGGTCACAGCTGTGGCCATGCTCAGCTGCCTCCCCAGGATTTCCATCAAGAGGGTCACGCTGGCAGCATCAGGAGCGGCCCACGGCTTCTGGGGCTCACAAGCCCTTTCCTGAGCACCCTCCCTCCACATGCTTCCCATGTCTGACTCTGAAGTTACAATGGGGCAGAGCCTTCCTCCTGATCAGGGAGGACCACTGCTGCTCCTGTTATAATGTTCTGGTTCAAGAATGAGATGTTCAAACACAGAAGGTGTCAGAAGTAAACACAATGGACGACCGGAACCTTCATCTTATAAAAAAGAAAAACTCCAGTCTCCTTGCTTTCAGACGTTTATAAAGACAACCTCAAAAGAAACAAACGACAAAAAGGAAAGTGTAGTAATTTATCTGTGTTGTTTCTTGATATTTCACCGTTTTAAATCATACTTTATTGGACTTTTGTTTAAACTACAAAAGTAATGTATCTCTGTTGCCATAAGCCAAACCCAACAGGGGTGTACAAATAAAAAGCCGTAAAACCACCCTCCCCCATAGCCAACTCCCTTCCACACACTAAGGTAATCACAGTGGGCAGACAGGAGTATATTCCTCCAAGTCCTTGTGCCAAGCAACATAAATACATGTAGACCAAGTGGGACTCAGACCAGAAACCAAGGTCAAACCTCAAAGGCTTGCGGGGCCCAGCAGATCATGTCACTGGCAAAGCTGCAGGTGTAATGGAATGAGTACAGATGGGTCCAGTGGCTAACTGTGCCACTTAAATCTCTCCATTTTGAACATTTGGAAAGCACTGAGTTGGCCATAAAAGCATCGGAGGGGGAGACTAGATAGTGCTCCTGGGCAGGGCAGCTGAGTTGGGAGGAGCTCAGGCTCTGGCGACCTGGGCACTTCCTGAGCCCAGGATCTATTGGCAAGGTGACTGTAAGAAAGCCACTTCGTCTCTGTGCTTCTAATTCCTCCTTTGAAAAGAGGCGATCCAACAGTCCCCTCCTTGTAAGTTCATTGTGAGAAGAAAATTATGTAACAAGCACTTAGCACTGGCCTGGCACTCACTACTACAGGTCACCAGTTTGCAAGCACTGCTGGCGACAAATTATCCTTCAATTTGTTTTCTTAAACCTGATGATGTATCACGGGTTTCCCTCACACCAACAAGGAGAGATCTGGCTGCTTTTTAATAAATGCCTAATATGTGGCTGATGGGGGTTCCCATCCCTTCCACTTTTTGCCACTACAAATAGTGGTGCAGAAAACAGTTTTGTACTGTCTTTTGCATTGGGGCTTCTGCAGGACTTGCTATTGGGTTGACAGATTTGGATATTTAATACTCATGCAATATTTTCAGATTATATTCCCCCAAAGTTAGAACAATTCATACTCCCAACAGCAGTGTCGGGGAGCACTCATTTCCCTCAGTCACTTGCTAACACTGGTTTTATCTATTTTTGTTAACATTTTGCCACTTAAAAAGGTAAAACAGAAAACTATTGTTTTTTTTATTTGCATTCTGCTAGTGATGATCTTTTGAGGCAAAAATTCCCAACTTCTTTCTTTCTCCTTTACTTCTCCAGCAAGAAACCTCCTATTTTTAGCTAAGCACACCCTATGGTCCCTAGTAGCTTGGTGTGGCTAAGCTCTGCTCAGTGAGATGTAAATGTTAGTGCTGTGTGAGACTTCTGAGAAGTATCTGAAAGGGAAAAGGCATGCCTCTTCTCTTTCTCCTTCTGGCTTCTAGAATGCAGATGTGATGACTGGAGCTCAAGCAGCCATTTTGAGTCAGGAGGCAATCTGCTATGGCAGCAAGAGCAGTGAGACATAAGGAACCTGGCTCTGTGATGACTTTGATTCCATCACACCAAACCTCTTTACTCTTTCATGAAATGGTATAAACTCCTACATGTTTAAGTCATTGTTATTCCAGGGTTATCTACTACATGTAACAAAATCTAACCCTAATACAGCTTCTGATCCCCAAAAGTCAAAACTGAGCCTTTATTTCTCTTTCTGTAACACACATAAATAACAATGCCTTGGTTTTTATCTTCCCTATGTTTATTTAAGTCTCTTAAAAGTAGAACACTCATTTCCCAACTCTCCTATCCATTCTCCCAAAGGCTTAGGTTTTACAGAGATGGTTTAGAATTTTCAGCCTATTATGTTTTCTCACACAGTTCTCCTCTATCTTAAAAGTTCTTAATAACACAAAATAAAAATTCCACGTCACAGTAGCAATATCCCGTGAGATCAGTCTCTGTGAGCTAGAGGGCACACTGCTGCTCACTGCCCCCTCATTCTCCGTGTCCCCACCCCAGGGACCCTGCTCCAATTGTCCTTCGGCTAGAGAACTTCGCTGGACGTTTTCCTCGGCACACTTACCAGATGACTTGTGCTTTATGTCCTCACACGTGTGAAGTGCCCTTCTTTCACAATGACCATGAGTGACATCTCAATGGGCACAGCAAGGACTGCAGCCCTCTCCCTCGAACAGTCTGGAGACGCCGGGCCACCATCTTCCAGCCTCCAGGGCTGCATATAGGAGGCCCAATGTCAGCCTAATTCTCTCTACTTTGACCACAATCTGTTCATTCTTCCTACAAAATTTTAAGATTTTTCTTTCTTCTTGGAGTTTAGGACTTTTACTAGAAAGTAGGTCTGAGTGTTGGTTTTTGTGTGGGATGAAAGGATCCATTTAATCTGAAGAATCAAATCTTTATTTAATTCAATGACATTTTCTTCTATTGTCTTCTATTACTTCTCTATCTATTCTTTTTTCTCTTTCTGAACTCCCATGACTCCATGCCAGGTCCCCTGGATAAGGTCTCCAAGGCCTTTCCTTGCGGACAGCATCTCACATTTTAGTTCATTATTTCATTTCTTTTTATTATTTTTCTGGGTTTTGAGGCATTTCTTCTACTGGGCCTTCCAAACCACCAATTAAAGCCATGTTTTTTAGTTCCAGCAAGCCTCTGGTACACTTTAATTGCATCCTCCTAGGAATTCTCTACTTATAAAGTTCTTATACATCCTCTCCTTCCATCCTGTCTTAAAGAACCCATTGCTCCAAGTGTGAAGCTTGGCTTCCCTCTTTCACTGGCCGGGTTCCCACAAGGCTGTCACGTGTCTTTCCCTGCTAGAGGGTGCAGGGAAACACGCAGTCCGTGTTTATGGCAGATTGCTTGAGCTACGGCAGCATTGGCGAGCCTGGGCAACTCATAGCCTCTGTTGAAGGGGACCCACATGAAATGTGCTGGCACACTGTGATCTTCCTGCTGAGACGTGGGGTGGGGACCCCCTGGGATCCATGAGATCGAGCAGTCCCTCCGAGGGCATAGGCAGCAAGTAGGCAGCTGCAGCCCTGCCCATGGAATCCAGTTCTCATCAGACTCAGAAGCACAGAGGAGGGGAACCCCATTTCTAGAACTAGACTGACCTAGAGTCAAAACTCAACTCTGCCACATACTTGCTGTGTGATCTCAGGAAAATGACTTATCTCCAAGTCTCAGTTTTCTCACGTGCTCTTACCTTTAAACCAAGTTATTTCCAGCAACCTCCTTAAAGGAACCAATCCCTCTGATACAGAAGTTTCAGGGAACTTGCTTCTTCTAAGCACTGTATGAATTACTTGTACTGTAATCAAGGAAGCCTGGGGCCCTGGCAGGAAAGCATCAGAAACTTTATCTTCTACCACTTTGTGAAAGTAGGTTGACAGAAGGGTAAGGTACTAGGAAGAATCTGAGAAATATTGCAATAGTTCAGCTTTTAACATTTTTGTGACTACTCCAACCTGAATAAGATCTCCTAGGATTCTTCTAGGCAGATATTCCCCTGTGGTCGTATGTTGTCTCAAGACCTGAGGACCACGGCTGCAGAGGGGATGGATGCTGAGAACCATGAGCGAGTGCATGGTGGTTCCCATCTGGTGACACTTATTGAGCACCTACTGTGTGTAAGGCATGGAGCAAAGCACTGCATGAACACAATAATGAGCAAGACACAGCCCCTGCCTTAAAAGCGCTTGACTTCTAGTCAAGGAGATAAGGGGGAGGTCACAAAAAAGCACACTGCAATGCAGACTGTGGCCAAGGCCATAAGAGGGGGCTGAAACAAATGTCATGACAGTTTAAAAGAAGGAGAGCTTAAGTGAGTCAGGAGTGCAGAAAAGCATTCTCAGAAGAGGTGTCAGGTGGGCTGGGCAGAACTTCAGGGAGCAAGGAGGGCGGGAGGAAGTGGGCAGAAAGGCAGGGGTTGACAAGGAGATTATAGTCTCTGGAAGACCACAATCATGTCTCACTCACCTTCGTATTCCTTCCCCCATCCTCCCAGGGCCAAGCGTGACTCACACCACAGGCTGGCCCTTTCTTATGAGGGGTCTGTAGCAAGGATAGCCTGAAGTGAGGAGGGAAGCCAAATTGAGAGAGATGGGGCAGAGGTTTGTGGGGTGGGACAAGGACCTGACTGAGGCTGGGAGAAAGGAGATCACCCAAGTCACCCCAGGGAGTGTAGGGAGGATGACACAGGATGTTCATCTTCTGACCAACAGGAGCAAAAGGATGACAGCGAAACAGGGTGCCGACGAGAGGTTTTGCACGAGGAGGAGAAGGAGAAAGGAAAACACCCTGATCCGAGAATCAGTAGTGAAAACCCCAGAGCCCAAGTCATCTGACAAGAGAAAGCCCCTGAAACACCCTCTGGGTGTGGCTCACCAAGGACGCCTGAGTCCCAAAGGCCCCTGTGCCCTCCACGGCCCCACAGGCTCGCTGGCAGGAGGCTCCTCTGACCGCAACGGCACCCGCTCACCTGTACCAGTCGCGGCTCTGGGTGCCACACCCTGGCCCTCTGCTCAAGAGGGCACAGGGCGCCAGGGTCAGTGAACCCACTTACCAGGAACACGTGTTGGGCTTCATAATCCCAGGCCAACAGGATAAACCGTCCCAGCAGGTCTCTTTCCAAACAGGAGCCTCTGCAAAAGTAGGGGGATAACTCGGTTTACACGATGTTCCAGATGGTGAGACTTGTTTTTCGAAGCTCAGCAAGGTCAGACCAAATAAGATCCGATTCTGAGCCTATTCTGTGGAATGTCACAAGCCTTCCCCATAAAGCAATATGCGATACCATTTAGCCGATCGGGTAGCAAAGCCTGCCCTAAAATCACCGAAGTCAACTTAAATCTCTGTGGTTACTATTCTCCTTTCCCAGCACGCTTTGGATACACGCTGGTGGAAGCACGGGAGGGTCTGCCCGACGACTCCACAGGAAGATGCATTCCGGCAGCTGCAAAGCCCGGCCAAGACCTCAGGCAGGGTCCCGCAGGAAAGACTCAGGAGTACCCAGCACAAACACCCCTGCCCTCAGAGCAAGTGGCCAGGGAGGCAGCCCACGCGGCACAGTCATCCCGCATAGTCACTGTAGAGGGCCTGGGGCCGGTCTGCCTCCCCTCCTCCAGAGCACCCCCTCTCCGCACCCCCCACCACCTCCAAGAGGGCAGCTTCATGACCTCCTCCACTGAGGAAAGCTGACTCCACCTCCCTCGGGTCCCTCATTAACCTGAAGTTCCCGCATCGTTTCCTGGCCCCCGACTCCCAACTCTGAGGAAGAGGTGTCCGCCTGAGACCCGGGGCCACCCAGGGCACCGCCACCTCCCCCCGGCACCCCACTTTGCACCCTCAGCCTCCTCCACTCTCTTGATCCTCCCCTCTGCCTAAGAACACCCGAAGTTCTCCCCAGTCTTCCAAACAGCTTCGGCCCTTGAGCTCCAGGCTGCTTTCCCCCGCACCACACCACCTTCCCACCACCCATTAGGTGAATAGGACCTAATGGCTGAGCTTTGAACACAGTTCACCAGCCCCTCATCTCTCAGCCTCAATAACGACCTCATTCTCCCCTCCTCCTCCTGTCTCCTCTGCTTGCCCCCTTCCCTTAGTCCTCCCACTTCCAGAGCTTCCTCGCAGCCCTTCCCCTGGGGTCCCTGCGGCCCAAGGCACTCAGAGGTCAGGCTCTGCTTCCCTCTCTGGCTTCAGGCCACCCCCACCCCAGCCCACACTTCATGCGCCAGAAAGAAGCAAGAAAACAACCCAAAGACAGGCTGCTGACCCAAACCGACTGAGGCTCCCTCCTCACCACCTGCTTCCCGCAGCCAGGCCCCTGCTTGGGCTGCCCCTTCTGTTATGACCTTGAGCCACGGCTCATGAAACTCTCCAGTCCTTCACTAGGAACAGCTGAACACACACTGAGCAAGTACCTCTAACATACATAGGCTTATTTGTAAATTAAATATATGTTCTAAGGTACCGATATGTTCATTACCTTACAAAACAAATGCAAAGATCAAAGGAAGAGATAAAGATGAAATATGTTAAAATGATTATTTTATTCATCAATATAAAAAAACTTCCATTCTCACCATTAATAATAATTTGAGTGGAGCATGACTGATAAGCTTCCTTCCGTCAGCGTTTTAAATAAACTTCCCATGGAAATGCAACATGATGCAGAAGAATGCATACAGTAACACAATGCAAGTGCACAGGTCAAAGGAGTCTCACAAAGTGAACACACCCAGGTCACAGCACCCAGATGGGCCGAAAACACCACAATCCCCTCTAAAAACCCACCACACCTCCTTCCACCTCTACCAGCCTCCCACGGATGGCCACCATTCTGGTTTTCAACAGCAGAGATTACGTCTGTCTATTTAAACTTTCTATGAATGGAGCCATACAGGACATGATCCTTTGTGCCTGAATGAACATTATGTTTGCGAAATTCATCCTGATTTTTCATGGTTGTTCACTTACTGTTTCCCCACTGTGGGAGTTTACCCTGTTCCTGTCCACCCTATACCGATGGACACCGGGACTATTTCCAGCCTGGGCCATCACAGGGGGTGCTGCTGTAACCCTTTTGAGTGGCGCCATGTGGTACATTCGTATGTCTTCATGCTGGGTTGATACCCAAGAGTGGGACTATCGGGCCATAGCTGACTAAATGTTCAGCTTTGTTAGATGATGGCAAGCACTTCTCTAAATTGGCTAAACCAATCTACACACCCACCAGCAGGTTGTGAGCATTCTGGCTGCTCCACGTCTTTGCTAGCACTTGAAATTCTGGCATGCTCAGTTGCATGCCAATCAACTGATTCTTTGCAACCCCACGGGCTGTAGTCCACCAGGCCCCTCTGTCCATGGAATTTTCCAGGCAAAAACACTGGAATGAGGGACTTCCCTGCCAGTCCAGTGGTTAAGACTTTGCCTTGCAATGCAGGGGGTGCAGGTTTGATCCCTGGTCGGGAAGCTAAGATCCCACATGCCTCGCAGCCAAAAAAAACAAAACATAAAACAAAAACACTGGACTGAGTTGCCACTTCCTTCTCTGGGGATCTCCCCGACTCAGGGATCAAACCCACATCTTTTGCATTTCCTGCATTGGCAGGTGGATTTTTTATCACTGTGCCACCTGGGAAACCCAGCACTTGAAACAGTCTTTTTTTTTTTTTTAAATTTTAGTGGTCCTGATCAGTAAGATATCACAAAGTCAGTATTATGATCACCTTTAAAGGAGACTGAAATTAAGTGCCCCTCTCAAGGCTCACAAAACTAAGTGACTGAGAGCAGGAACCCAGGTTTTCTGACTCCAAACAGTGTACTGTTTCCACCTGCAGCCACCTCTTCTGGCTAACCCCAACTCCTTTCTTCTGGGAAGCTGTCTCTGGTCGCCCAGCCAGGTAAAACCTCTGAGCACCTTCTACTCTTCTTTTGTAGACACTGTCAGTGCTGTAATTAACCTTTCCTACACTTATTTGTTATTATTTTGGACTTATTTTTACACTTACATGCCTCTACTAGACCGTAAGCCAAAAGGCAGCAAGGCCCAGACTTGTCTTTTTCCTCTGCTGCAGCCCCACACTCAGATCAGTTCTTGCACTCTGCAGGCCCTGAACAACAACTGGATGGATGTGAGGGTGAGTGGGTAGATGATGGATGGACGGACAGATGAACAGATGGACTAGCAGGCAGGTAGGTCTGGAAAATGGAAGAACAAGGAATAAGGCTGCCTTTGGTGACTGGTACAATACTTTAATAACATCCAACTGTCTTTACTCTTGGTAAAGATCCTGATGCTGGGAAAGACTGCAGGCAGGAGGAGGAGGGGACGACAGAGGATGAGATGGTTTGATGGGATCACCGACTCAATGGACCCAAGTTTGAGCAAGCTCCGGGAGATGGTGAAGGACAGAGAAGCCTGGCATGCTGCAGTCCATGGGGTCACAAAGAATAGGACACAACTGAGCAACTGAACAACAACAACAGTCTACTCTAACACAACCCTCGCAAGGCAACCTCAGATCTTAAAACTGGGGCTTTTCTACTGAAGAAAGGATGCAAACACATTGGAAAGATTCCTGTTTCCTTGGAAAGCAGATGTCAGGGCAAACTAACACACTTGGCTTTCTGACTTCATACCCAGTGATCTTCCTATATCAGGCTGCTCTCCAGGTTCCATAAGTATGCTGGCTATATTGATAAAAGTAAGTTCCAACAATCTCTCAGCAACTAATATCATGACAAAGTCCCCTGAGATCAACATATATATTGCTAACAGACCACAAGAGGCACTGCCTTTTCTCAGACAGCCAACGTCACTGAAAATGGCAGCTGGACACCAAGTTAGGCCTTAGCTCCTGTTCCCTACAGTCACACTGCAGATTCACTGGGGGACCCTGAAAATGAGGTTTTCACCAGAGATAAATGCTTCCTAATGGACATGGTCTATGAGCAACACTACGTGAAAGGCAGGCAGCTGCTGAGAAATTGCAACACACAAATGGAAGTCCACAGGTTTTACAGGTGGAGAATCTGGACGCCTGAGTCTGAAAACCCTGACAAAGTCCATCCACTCTCATGTGGAAAGTGGGAAGAGCAGCCTTGATGACCTCTAACCTTCAGATCCGACTGACACTATATCTGATAAGTACAAAGGCTGTAGCACTGCTCACTTCCAAACAGCCCCATGGCAGGTACACCCAGAGATAAATTAGAGAAACAGGCTAACTGAAGCAACCAGCATCTTTTGAAAACATAAAAATAATGCTACATATCAGGGCTTACCAGGTGGCACTCGTGGTAAAGAAACTGCCTACCAATGCAGGAGATGTAAGAGATGAGAGTTTGATGGCCGGGCCGGGAAGATCCCCTGGAGGAGGGCATGGCAACCCACTCCAATATTCTTGCCTGCAGAATGCCATGGACAGAGAAACCCGGCAGGCTACAGTCCATAGGGTCATAAAAAGTCACAGAAAGCGAAGAGGAACTAAAGAGCCTCTTGACGATCACGAAAGAGCAGAGTGAAAAAGTTGGCTTAAAACTCAACAATCAAAAAACTAAGACCCTGGCATCCGATCCCATCACTTCATGGCAAACAGAAGGTGCAAACAGTGACAGATTTTCTTTTCCTGGGCTCCAAAATCACTGTGGATGGTGACTGCTGCCATGAAATTAAAAGACACTTGCTCCTTGCAAGGAAAGCTATGACAAACCTAAACAGTGTATTAAGGAGCAGAGACGTCACCTTGCCGACAAAGGTTCACACAGTCGAAGCTATGGCTTTCCAGTCGTCACGTATGGATGTGAGAGTTGGGCCATGAAGAAGGCTGAGTGCTGAAGAATGGATGTTTTTGAATTGCAGTGCTGGAGAAGACTCTTCAGAGTCCCCTGGACTGCAAGCAAGTCAAACCAGTCCATCCTAAAGGAAAAAAGTCCTGAATATTCATTGGAAGGACTGAAGCTGAAGATCCAATACTTTGGCCACCTGAGGCAAACAGTCACCTCATTAGAAGAGATCTTGATGCTGGGAAAGATTGAGGGCAGGAGAAGGG